TCGCCATGGCCATCAGGGAGTCCGCCAGCGGCCGCCTGACTCTGGCTGAAATCAATGACTTTCTGATGAAGAAGTTTCCCTTCTTCCGCGGCAGCTACACAGGCTGGAGAAACTCCGTGCGCCACAACCTGTCCCTCAATGACTGCTTTCTCAAAGTGCTCCGCGACCCCTCCAGACCCTGGGGGAAAGACAACTACTGGATGCTCAACCCGCACAGCGAGTACACTTTTGCGGACGGTGTGTTCAGACGCAGGAGGAAGCGCATCGCCAAGAGGCCAAACAAAGAGCAGGAAACCCCGGACATGAGTGAAGAGGACTCCAAGCGCATCCTCCTCCCTGGCGCACAACAAGAGGACAGGGTCAAGTTCTCCAGCTCATTCGCTATTGACAGCATCCTTAGCAAACCCTTTACGCGCAGGGAGGAGACAGATGCTGGGAATTACGGGGCACGGCTCTATTGGCCCCCAGGAGCCCCTCACGTGCTGCCATGCGCTCTGAACTTTAACTACCTGTCAGAACCGTTTGTGGAGCCGGGACATACACATATCCATCACACAGTGACAGGGCCAAGGATGCCAAGCAAGACGCGGAGTTTCCACATAGACTCTCTGCTTTCATGACTGTTTTGACCCAAGATGCACTGGGCGTTTCAAGTCTTTGTACTGTAAATGAGTCCATGGTTCATTGTTCATTTCTGTTGTTTGAAAACTTTATCCGCCTATTTATATTTGCTTGTTTTGTATGACCTGCTGTATGTGTAAAATTGTAAATATATGAAAATAAATATTGACTGAGCCGCGAAAACGTCACGTGGCTAAACGCACTAAAAGCATGGACAAAGTCTGTTTACTCTTGAAATTCAATGTTTCATGCATGCATGGTATTTTTATAAATAAAATTAAATGGGCAAAAAGGCGCTCTGGATGTTTTTGTTTCTACACAAAACAAAGAGCTAGAGATGACAGGTGGATGACACCTGTCAAGTATAGGCAGAATGCGCAAAGGTAAAGGATAAGTTAAGTAGGCCTTGTACAAAAATAAACACCGAACTACTGTATTGGTTGAAGACTTCAAAACAAAATCTAATTATTTTGTAAATAAACTACATCATTTTGAGTTTAAAAATAGAAATACTCCTGGTAATAGGCCTATACCTTTTGAGACAATACCATATTTTAGACTACAGGAAAGATCGAGATTATTCATAAAGCTGTTACTGTAGATATAGTCTAACAACAACAACAACAACAACAATAATAATAATAGTAATAGTAATAAGTAATAGTAATAGTAATAGTAATAGTAATAGTAATAGTAATAGTAATAGTAATAATAATAATAATAATAATAATATATTTATAGTAACATTTCTTTGTAATTTAAAGTTGAGATTGAGTTCATTTATTACTTTATTAGTTGCTTGGATGTCTGAGAACGTTCATAATAATTATAATATAAACAAACAATTCCTAGTTTGTCAACTAATCATTGGTGTTTGACTGACTAACATTTGTTAGTGTTTTAAGACATTTAGTTATAGTTTAAGAGAGACAGTATCGCGCAGCTTTGTCTCTGAAAGTATGAAAAACTGAGGTGATGATTTGTGAAATGGATTAGTCAAATTTGAATATTTTATTTACAATATTTTGGGTGAATTTGTGGCCTCACAAACATAGATGAAAATGCATCCAAATGCATCAAAATATTCCGCAGTTTAAACAGCCTGTACGGTAGCTCCATGTTCCTCCGATAGCGCAATGATAGGGCCGCTGCAAACGAAGCCGAGGATGCTGTAGAGGCGCGACAGGTGACAGGTGAGAGGTGTTTTTCCAGGGACAATGCTGCAACCTGCAGGTGAAAGACCGGAACAGCACACCTGTCTATGAAGCAGTCACGTGGCCTTATAACGCGCTCTCATCAGGGCACGCCTCCTGCAGGGTGTTTTCAGATGAGCTCTGAGCAAAGCGCATCTCCTCCATCGAGGATAGCCAAGGCTGCTGCACACGCTCTGAGACAGCCCCCCACAGTATCAACGCAGAAGTCCATAGGAAACAACTAGTGCCTCTTTAAACGACCATGTTTATTAACACCAATAAAGAATAATACTGTTGTTTTAAATAGTCTGTGCTTTCATTATTGTGTTGTTACAAAAAGGAATATATGTTTAATCACAAAAAGAAATATGCTTCTAAATGAAAAAAAATCTAGTTTGTGAACAATAATGTAATGTATAATGGAACAGTCAATAGAACAATGTGTGCCTATAATTAAAAACAGTGGGTGGAAGAGAGTCTTGGTACAGTGCGAATACTGGGTCTGACTTGGAGTGTAGAAACTACGAACCCTTTAAAGGCCTCTCGCTGCGAGTGTACCACCGTAAACACAACCTCTCACCTCCACACAAGCCTCACAGACGGCAAAGCAGTAATATCTAGTGATTTCTAAATGTAGATCTGTGCGTAAGACGCGCAGCCTCTTCAAAGCTCCTCTGGAACAAAGATTCGGGTGTGCGCCAAAGCTGAAACCTCGGCATCCTGATCTCTGCGGGGGGCTCTGAGGTTTGATGTCGCAGGAAATTTGTCGGCCGTTCAGGTCCTGCACACTGGACCGCTGTGTGTACTGGGAAAATGATTTGATCTGCACGTCCTTTGTTGTGCGTAATTTGTGTTGGGCATTGTTTTGACAATCCAGGCTGGAGGTGAACCATAGGCGGAACCAGAACGGAGTTAATATAATAATATAGCTTATAAATTCGCTTATTATTATTATTATTATTATTATTTTATGTATTTAGAAATGTGTATTTATTTATTTAGAAAAGGGGACTGTACATATTAATATAATATTACAGATTTTAACGACAGGCTAATTCCCATCTGTTGTTCCTGACTAACAGTAACATTACAAGTCACTGAAGACAACAGACTCACAAACATTAGGACCACAGAGAACAATTTTTAGAATAGTTATTAATGAATTCGCGTCTTTTCTGAACCAATCATATACAACAATGAAGATGTATATTAAAAAAAAAAAATCCTAAAATATTCAAAACAAATTACCGGGGCACTAGGCTAGGCTACAGTGTTACATCAGTATAAACCAAAACGAAAATACAGTGTAAATTTGAACCCAATGTTTTTGCTTTATTTTGGATGTTACTTTAACGTGAGCACTGGGAAGATATGAGACTTAAAAATAGAGGCCCTACAGCATAAAAGGCCACCCAATTGTATTCGTTAATGAATGTGTGTGGCACTGGGTGATAAATATAAATATTAAAAAAATATACAAAAATGAATATATATATATTTTTTTTTTTTAATCCGTGAGACAACCCACTATTTAAAAATATGAACACACGTACAATTGATCATTAATAATACAAAATTAACTTTATCCCGATACCTTCAGGCGTAGGCTCTGTTATGATTACCCTAATAGTTTTAGTCGTGGAAACTCTGTATTTGAAATTATGTTTTAAGACACATGCAGTGCGCTTACATAAAGCCTATAGCATAATATGAGATGTGAGATTTAAATAATCAATTTCATAATTTGACTTTATTATTCGCAATTCGCAGGCCGTCAAACGCACGTTGTTTATAATTAGTTTATTTAAGAAATATATGATGATTGTATTGCAAAGAAATACCGGGTGAAGAGGAGTCTATATTGCACTATCATGCATCTAATCTAAAGTGCTTTGGTCAGAAAAGGTGGCCTCAGATCTCCCTCTGGTCCTCTGGTCGTCGCGCTCGCAGGATGTTGATATTACCTTTATGGGATCTTGAACTCCATCATGTCGGACAAATGTGTGTGTGATGTCTCCATAGGGGGAGGAAACTGTCGACGCCCGCTCGCCTAATTTCGCTTTTCTCTCTCTAATGAACGCTGGGGCCCATGGGACGCCTCGTGGCCCGGGGCGGTAAGCTGACACTGGCGCGCTGTGTGTGGTATCCAGGGCCGGGCTTGATGGAAAAAGCCTGCTTCCACTCATGTCAAAGTCATTTACTCAGTGCAATGAGCGCTAACCCCCCTTTACGCACGCACGGTAAAGACCACCGCGGTCCAAGATGAGGCAGCACCTCACAATCCCTCTCTAAAAGAAAAGACCCCCATTCCCTGGACAGTTTGTTTGTGTTACTCTCTTGGGGAGGAAATCACGAGAGTTTTTTGTTTTTTTTTAATTCTCGCTGAAAATTTCTCCTGCTTTTAGGAGCCAGTTCCATTTGAAGTTCAAATCCTTTCTGTTTAGTGTTGAACTTAAATGTCCCATTGCCTAACGTGTGACTGAGGAGCTCATTTTTTAGCTCCGTGCTGGCGTGTGGCACTGTTGATTTGGATGTCTGGGGGAGCTGTGATCGATGGCCTAATTGCGTGTAGTCCGAACTTGGAGCGAGAGAAGGGTGAAGAAGGGGGTGGGATGTTGAAGGAGGAGAGAAACCAGGGGGTTTCAGAGCTGATGGGAAGTTAGGAATGGTGAGAAATTACAAAGATTTTCACTGTTAACAATGCCTGCGATTAGACCTACAGGCCTATAAGGAGGTTCCTGCATGCAACATGGGGATATATTTGTATTTGTATTGTTTATAATGATAATCCAAATCTATTCGCATGATGTAAAACACAGTATCCACAATATCATTGTGCCACTTCTGGGCTATAGAATATATTAGTCCCTATTGTTCACAAATGAACAGGGTAGAGACAGGAGTGGGGCTAAGAGGTGATTCACTGATTGTGGACGATTTAAGTGAAATCATACCAGCTTGCTTTGAGGCGACAACTGAATGGACCACTCCATTCACTCGAGTTATTATTATGAGATGGTGCTGCAGTGACATCTGGGAGTCCAGCTGAAGTCCTGAGTCTCCAGTGGATAACCCACTCCCCCTTTGCTCCCTTCCTCTTCCTCTGTGTCAGAGCGTAGCCGCTGTGCGTCAACACAGAGCTGTGCGTAACGGAGGAGTCGTGCGTAACTGGAGACAGATTTCACTCCATTTTGCGCTGGGACTGTGAGGACCACTGGCGGTGCATCACTCTCTGTGCAGACTGGACTCAACAAGAAGGATACAGGACTCTCGATCCACGTCTCTTTCACCAATTTCTTACCATCCAGAAATCTATTATTTTTGTTTCCCCCTCTTTTTTGTGTATTACGCCTTAGTGCGTCAGCGCTGTCATGACCACAGAGACCCCTCAACAGCAGCTGGATCCTCCTCATCGCTCGAGCCCGTCTACGGGAGTGTTGCACCCCGCCATGCTGAGTCCACAAGCCGCATCAGAGAGCTCCTCCGTGGTTAAGGGGAAAAAGTCCAGCTCAGGGCTGCGGCGGCCGGAAAAACCCCCTTACTCCTACATTGCGCTCATCGTCATGGCAATCCAAAGCTCTCCGAGCAAACGGCTAACTCTCAGTGAGATATATCAGTTCCTGCAGGCTCGGTTCCCCTTTTTCCGCGGCTCTTACCAGGGCTGGAAAAATTCCGTGCGCCACAACTTATCTCTGAACGAGTGTTTTATCAAACTGCCCAAAGGCCTAGGCCGTCCAGGTAAGGGCCACTACTGGACCATCGATCCAGGCAGTGAATTCATGTTTGAGGAGGGCTCGTTTCGGCGCAGACCGCGGGGGTTCAGGAGGAAGTGCCAGGCTCTCAAGCCCATGTACCGCATGATGAATGGCATAGGGTTCGGGACATCAATTCTGCCGCAGAGTTTTGACTTCCAGCCGCAGTCCAGCCTGTGCCCCAGTAACAGTTACGGCCTGGATATGATGAACAGCTCAATGAGCAGTGGATACGACCACCACGTGGCCCACATGTCACCCAGCCCCGGGTCCACGTACATGGCCAGTTGTCCAGTGCCGCCCAGTGGTGACTACGGCGCGGACAGCAGCAGTAGCCCGGTACCGTCCTCCCCGGCAATGGCCAGCGCACTTGATGGGCACTCACCATACACAAGCTCCTCTGCACATTGGGCGTCAGCCAGCGGCTCTCCGTATATCAAGCAACAGCCATTGGCGTCCAGCAGCCCAGCATCCACAGCACTGCACTCAGGGATGTCACCCTATTCTCTGGAGCAGAGCTACCTGCATCAGAACCGGGACAGCCACAGCGATATCTCAGGTACCACACGGCCACACGAAGCACAATAAAATACTCTCTGTTAGCAATATTTATTTCATATAATAAATAAAACTAATAACAATATTACTACGCAAAGTTATGTTTAGTCATGGAGGAAATAAATAAAAATGTAGTAGAGTTTACAACATATTATAGGTGACCATTGAATGATCTGTCATTCTAATTCAGTTTTAGATCAACATGCAAATGTATTCTTCTCATTATTCTTAGCAGACAATTAGAACAGAGTTTAAATGAATAAAAAATAAATAAGTAAATAAATTGCGACAGTTTAGGGAGGCTGTAGGCCTATATAAATAGGAGACGTAGGACGTTTTATATATATATATATATATATATATATATATATATATATATATATATATATATATATATATATATATATATATATATATATATATATATAAAGTAAGCAAAATGTAGGTTACGAAGTAAGCGCATATATGTAGCATATTTTAAATATTATAAATTACCTGCACTACTTGCTCTATTTATCGGCAAGTCACATATTATCAGTGATGGGATGAAAAAAATGGTAGGCTAGGTCTAAATTAATAGGATCAATTTTATATAAATCTATGTGTATTTGTAGGCCAACTTTATTTGAATTAAAGCGTAAGATATTGGTAACCGAGTCCCAATGTGCATATTACTAAACACGCCAATCCAAGTGTACAGATACACCGTGCTTAATTAACTGATCATAACGCTGAGCACTTCATGTAGACGAGGCTTCTCTCTAAAACGTCCATTTAACTAAAGACAACAAAGCGGGGATTTAGTGAAGTCAGGGGATTTCTCCGGGGCGAGTAAAGCATGCTGGATCCCTGGAAAGGTCCCGAAGGTTAACTAAACAAAGGCTGTGCAGGTCGGACCACACCGGCGCGAGCCCTAACCGCTGTGTATCCATCAGAGAGCGCGCCTTGTTAAACTTAACGTAGCGTTCTACTCTCACTGCATGGATGTGTATGTGGACAGTTCAGGCCCTCACCAGCACAGTCAGATAGTCTGTGTCAGTGAGTGTGGCTCCTGTGTCCTGTGTGAGAAAGACGCAGGGCACAGAGGATAAAAGCTGTCTTCATCCTGAAAAGCACATCTGGAGCCCGTATGAGCAGTATCACTGCTTCTCAAGTTTAGGTATAGGCTTATACAGACAAGTCTTTCAGACATGGTTATGCTTACAGGTACGGCTGGGGATCTACTGGCACGAAACAATGATTACAAAATAGACCAAAATAGACAGCTACGACTATTCTTATGTAACAACAATAACCTCTATTTTCCAAATTTGTGCAATGAACTAATTTTATACATTATATATATATATATATATATATATATATATATATATATATATATATATATATATATATATATATATATATATATATATATATATATATATATATATATATATATATATATATATATATATAAATTATATAATATATATATATATATATATATATATATTTAATTGTTATGTTAGTTCTAATGTTACGCTTGGGTCACGCACTAACTCACTGCGTCACCTCAACAATGATAATGATAAATTTGATACATTAATGGAAATCTCTGTTTTGTAAAAGTAGCCTGGTTCATGTGAAAAAAATGTGCGTAAAATATGTTATAAAATAAATATTTTACATTCAACTTCTGCATCAAGAGATGATGTACTTAACATACTACAAATATACTACAAATATACTACAAATATACTACAGGCTATAATTCCATGTACGAAATAACTGGGGAGCAATGCACGGCGTTGCATGACCTCTTTATTTGCTTTTATAAGACCCAATACATTTACTTGATAATTAACCGATGTATTCACCATATAACGAATTACGCTTGTGTACCTAAAATTACTCTTGAATAAAATGAGTTACGGTCCAAAAGCAGTCCAGCCTAGTGTCCAGTCAGTGGTTAATATCTAACGCAGTCTTCTGGTTTGTTGCAGTGGGCATCCCTCGTTACCAGAGCCACTCCTCTGTGTGCGACAGGAAGGACTTTGTGTTGAACTTTAACGGCATCTCCTCTTTTCATCCATCGGCATCAAGCTCATACTACCACCACCATCACCACCACCATCCCCAGAGCGTGTGTCAGGACGTCAAACCTTGCGTCATGTGAGCGCGCGCTTTGTTGGACTTGAAGACAAATATCCACGAGACACAGTGTGACTGTGACCTGAGGACACACTCCTGGCCTTTACCAGGCATGTTTATGAAGGACATCCAAGCGTGCCTTTGCGCCAGAACACTTCTTTACCCGAATATGCACCGAAAAAAAAAGTGAATCAATGAAGAAACTCCCGGGGCCTTTCAGAAACCACTTTGCCTTTTCCCAAAATGCCTTAAAGACACTTATTGTGTTTGCTTTTGTAACAATTATAATATCTGTATTGATGTTTATTTCTGTATAGTAACACACGCGAAGCTTTAAACGTGAACGGCATCAAACCTTGCACTTATTGTATAACCATTTGGCAACTTTTGCCCTGTAAACGGTTTCAATAAAAACCGACAATATTTTTAGGTCCTGTTTTTTTCGTTTATTTGCACGTTCACACTAAGAGACAATAGTTTATAGCCTACCTTAAATAACAGTCAAAACATGAACAGTAGGCCTGTCAATACGCTCATCATCTGAGGAACAGAGAAAAGCTTGGCGCCATGTGTTAGATTTCTTTTTATTTTATTTTATCATATCAGTTGTGTGTATAGGACCTAGGAGGCAGAAAAAACTCAAATCAAAAATGTCCCAAAGAATCTCAAATTAGCTTTCCAGTATTTACAAATACAAAAATGTTCTATTTATGAAAATGTCTGCTGAACACATCTTTTACCAAAACAAGAATTGGTTTGCAAACATGTATTTACATTCATTCTTACCGCACTGCTTTTAGCCACACAAATTAGAGGAAATTTTAATAAAATAATTTAGTTTTTTTTTTCTTTTGTTTATATATTGTTTTCATGTTAATTACTTGTTAAATTCCACAACATCACATTCAACTATTTTTGTTTAAAAAAACAACAATAATTCTGAATCAAACTGAGAACCTTAAAAACAAGATCAAATCACATATCACAGAATGATTCACACACCCATGATTTCAATATGAAAACAATCAAGATTTAATCCTCACACGGTGCTGTAAGGCAAAGGAGAAATTCAATTCTGTCAACTAGACAAAGGTTTTTCAAATACGTTTTGCAGCTCATCTAAGCTGCTTCTTCAGTTCAGAAGAGGATGCCGTATGGTTACAGGGTGTGTTCTACAAACAATATTTTAAGTACAAAAATCCTTTTAGGGGGTCCATGCTTTATTCTGATTCTGATCTATCAATCAGGGAGATATGTTATTACTTTTATCATTTATACATCATTAACTTCCCACCAAACAGGCTATTAGTGAAACGTTTCATAAAATTTTAAATAGATGTTAAAATGTCTGTTTCATTATAAAGAGCCAGAAGTATTTTGTTCAAGTGATTTTGTGTGTTGTGGTTTCTGAATTAAATACAGTAAACACTGCATCCAAAATGGCCCTTACCTCAGTACAGACATTACAGCATGCAGGGTCTTCCAGTCCAGCCTATGTGCGTGGACATCTAGGTTACATCAGTAGACACGACCTATAAACAAGAGTCAAGCTTCAGGGAGTATATTTTAAGACATCAGGGAGACTGCGATATCCACGTCACACACACTTAGACAAAGCAGACTGGGCTCACTCCATGTGTTTGGGTTAATGTTTCAAATGGTCTAAATAAAAGGCTTTCCAATAAGATGCATCATCCCCACACATTGGAACACGGGAAAATACAAAGCACCAAAACTCTCTATGACATGCCACTTGTGAGATCTCTTTCTTTGCCCAAAGTTAACCTCATGAATAGCTCTTCTTACATGATTAGACAATTTTACAGGCCAGTGACCCACAAAAAGCCAACCAGAACTAAATAGAAAACCCTTTGTACTTCATATTCATAAACAATGGTAACCCTAATTTATGTGTAAAATCATTTTGAAGAGATCATCCTGGTCTCACTGAAGTGGCCTCTCGCTAAAGCTTTGATCACTTTTGGGTTCATGCAAATTGCATATGGAAGGCACATTTGATACACAGAGTGGAGAGAAACGACCACACGTCAAGAAGAAAAATGTCGTTGGACAAAACTCAAAGGTACTCGTTCTGATTGCATCCATCCAAGTAGAGACACTCAACTTCAGCTGCTCTGCTCAGCGACGTGGAAGAGTGAAAAGCAGGGCAACGTCGCCCTCTAGTGTCGCACAATGTAAACACGCAATTTAGCATTGACACAGGTTGAGAGTGGAAATAATTGTCCAAGTCAACAACAGAGCGGCTAAAATGCTGTTAACAGCACAAAAGGCAAACTTGGTGATTGATTTCGGGGGATCAAAAGTGCACTGTGCATGTATAGGATCACTTTTTTGGAAGAGGGGTTAAGGACGGAAATGTTGAAGTGTTGCCTAGAATGTAATAAAGTAAGATATTATACTGTTCTATCTTGCATTCGCTGCTCCACAGATCTGACCCGTAACCTGGATGGCGTCACCTGCTTGCTGAAAGGATAGGCTATAGATTTTGGTTTCATAAAAGCAGGCGGCAGAACCTCCATCAGAAAAGTTGCGCAGTGCGTCTTTAAATACACTTAAGAGATTTTAGGCTCTATTGCCTGTAGCTTAACGTTTACCTTAAAAGTCTCTAGAAAGATTCATTTGCTGAGTTTCTCTCGGGGGCTATCTGGAATCACCGCTTGAAAAACACACATTTAGGTTATACTTTTGTATGCTATTATATACGAGTATATCCTGTTACAATTACGCACACCGTGGTGTCTTTCCTTTTTGACACATTCCCCGGGCTTGTGACCTCTTGTGGCTGGGGTTGGTATGAGTCCTTCCTAAGGGCCACATTTTAAGCAGCTATGATAATTATACCTACACTATTATTGTATGATTCTCAGTTGCTAATTCAAAGTCGCTGAACACATTTTTATATAGTGGCTATGTAGAAATCAAAATACTGCCCCAAAACATTTTAATGTAGTCTCATTAAACAATTTTGGCCTTTTATAGGCTGTTTGAATTCAGCTTTTAATCAGCCAATTTTAAACTACTTCCAAGTGTCAGGCTTAATTGTGGTGAAATGTGCTCAGTTCTTAGGTGGCTAGATACTTAGACAGAATGTGAAAACAAAATTTTAAGATGTAGCTGTGTCTTACCGTGTAAATTCTCTGTCTCAATGAAGACTTCTCCCAGAGGCTGTTGGGTTAAAACCTTGACTGAGGCGCAAAGGGGGAGCGCCACGTTGTCCGTTTCATGTGGCCTTGAGCGCAGACCTTTTCCTCAGACCAGTCAGCGCTAACACACATTAATGGCTTGCACATGGGTGATTGGCACGTATTTATTTGAAATCCGTTTCAAATGGGCTCTCTGGCTGTGTGGCTTTGAGGTCCACGAATATTTGTGGAATTCGTTCTGTGTTTAATTAGGCTCCTAATACAAACATGCTCCGTGACATAGACGTTTTTTGTGGGTGCCACGACCCCTTTCTTTCATATTGCACAAAAACATTTATTAGAACTTGCATCATAGTCTTGGGGTAAATTGGTCATAAAAATGTTCTTCTGTGGCTCCCGTGGGTATAATTTTATATGCGCATTACAAAAAAATTCAGCAGATGGCGGTGTAGTCCTACAAAAGGTTTATTGCAACGAATAGGCTTTTCTGGCCTCAACGTACAGTTTTGGTGGCAGTAGGAAGACTAGTCAACAAATGTATAGCAACCGACATGAGAAAAGAAATTAGATTTTTTTTAAATTAGTTAAAATTGATTGTAAATTTCAAGGACTATTTGCCACAAACAACTAAAGCACAAGTTTACAACCCCAATGGAAATGACTTTAATCCACAGTAAGATATTATGTTGTATAAAAATAGACGTAGGCTATGTACAGTGTTCTAGCAGCTTGAAGACGCCACAAAAAACACCTTACAGTAAACATCATCACCACCATGGTTGGCAGGCCATTTTAAATGGGCGTTACTCACAATCAAATAGGCCCATGCATTATTGTCTCCGGCCACTAAGAGGCATAAGAGGTTCATTTAATTGTCCAAGCCTGTTTAAATGTATCTTAAAACTATTTAGCCTATTAATTTACTAAAGATTGCCGATAGTCCTTTTATATAGAGCATTATCTCTCGAACATAAAGTTTAACCATATGAACTATAACATGAGCCTGCCCAGGGACCACAGGTGGAAATCAGCACCTGTGCTACAACGAGGTACAATGCAGCTCTCCTGTGACGGTTAAATTGTGCACTGTCCCTGTCTCACAAGAGAAATGAACTAAACTAATAAACTAATAGCTTAAATTTGGGTAAAACTGCGCCTATTTAAAAATCAAGGTACTCCCTAACTCAGTGAATGTGAAAACAACATTTTAAGAGGCAGTTTCACCGTGTAAATTCTCTGTCTCTATGAAGACTTCTCCCATAGGCTGTTGGATTAAAACCCTGACTGAAGTGCGAAGCGCCACGTTCTTTGTTTCATGTGGCCTTGAGCACAGGCTTAATAATGATTAAGATAGGCATATCTTGTAGGTCATGTAATTAAACGTTTAAACCAAACTGTTGGACTTTATGAAGCGTGTGTTATATTGAGTTTGTGCCAGTGCGCAGTCGCGGAATGGTTTGCGTCAGGTGAAGAGGCCTGAGCGTTTGTTCCCCTGCGGTCTCCCACGCGCACGGACACGGTGACACATGCAAATGGGACAACAAAGAGTGAGTGATAAATGAGACCCTCTCACACATTAACACAGGCTTATCACCACAGCATCGTTTGGCTCTCGGGCACATCCTCCTCCTGCTGTTCCCTGTCAGCCCCATTACCTGGATTAGGGATTGAAAAACATTTGTTTTCCAGAGAATTGCATATCCAGTTTCAAATGCTTTTCTCATAAAAGCCCCGAACACCACCCAGAACAAATTTGTAAATAACATCGAGGAAAAAGGGGTTATTACGAGGGGTTAGTTATTTATTTATTTTTATTTTATTATTATTGTTATTATTTATTTATTTATTTTAAACTTTGCTGTAGCCTGTAAACAAGACAATTGTAGGGTGTTCAGAATTATATGCCCCTTTCATTAGCCCTTAAATGGTTTATAGCAATTAAAAACAAAACAATCATTTAAAGTCAGTGTAAAATCTCTAATAGAGACATCACTTATCACGTTTGTTGTCTCTGGTGTTTTTATTTCCCACTGTGATTACGCACAGATAAATAAATAAATCCTGAGCCAATAAAGACAGACCCCTTTGCCCCAATTGTTACTCCAAAGTCCTAACCCATCCTCTTGTTGTTTTATGGAATCCACATAAACCCTCCTGTCCGCCTCCTGTGTGGGGCCCAGATGAGCCCGTGGGCTGATGGCCGTGCTGACACCCGCTCAGTGTGAACGACATTTGGAGCTTTAACTCTCAAACACCTGATATCCACCCGCAGCGCAAATCTCACACGTTCAGGGCCAAACGACGTTCATTTAGGCTTTAATGAGTTTCCACGGGCACTGCGTGGGGGGCCGCGCGCTTTCATGTGTTTATTCAGAGGCGCATCAGACTGAATACATTGGACAACGGTCACACCTCAGGCCTCATTAGAGACCCACACGATTTGCATTATGGGAATAAACAGCTGCAATACACTACGGTGCGGTCAAAGTGATACTTAACGTGCTGGGTTTGGTTTGCTTTAAAATGTCGTTGACTGGTTTTCTCTTGCCATGAAATATGTTTACATGTGGGCACGACATGGATATTAAAGAATAAAATATGTATGAACTCTTTGCTCTGCTGTACCTAAACGTTATAATGGAGTAAGATGGAGTGGTGCTATGGCCCTATTTGCATCAGTTTATATGGCCTATCTGCTAGGGCTATCAATTTATAAAGAGACAGTGATTTATTTTTTGCTCACCAGTAACAAAATAATAATAATAATAATAATAATACTAATAATAATAATAATAATAATAGCCATATTAATAATTTTATTGCCTTCACTGAATCGTTAACCATAATAAAATAGCAATTAAAGTCATTAAGTGTAGTGCTGCTCACGCCCTTCAGAGCGCTTTAATATCTCTAAAAGTCTCAAGGAGTAAAAGGGAGGAGTGAATTGAGGAAGGGGTAACTTTTATCAGTTTCCACAGGTTCACTCCATCTTCCAATCGGATGCTGGAGCGCGCGGAGGGAGGGAGGAGCAGCGCGAGCAGCCAAAAGGGAGGAAAGAATGTCGAAGCGTAAAGAAGAAAAAAAGTCCTCGTTGAGCGTGGAGCTAGAGACTCGTCAGAAGCTAGAGTGATCCTAATGTTCAGAGCAGTGCGCGCGGACACACTCTAGAGGACTATCAGGAGACTGTACACAGTCAGGATGCAGGCGCGTTACTCGGTGTCCAGTCCCAACTCACTGGGTGTAGTGCCTTATATCAGCAGCGAGCAGAGCTATTACCGGACCGGCGGAGGCGGCTATACGGGAATGCCAGCTCCCATGACCATGTACTCCCATGAGCAGTACCCTGCCGGCATGGCGCGCGCCTATGGCCCCTACACGCCTCAGCACCACCAGCCCAAAGACATGGTGAAGCCGCCCTACAGCTACATCGCGCTGATCACCATGGCCATCCAGAACTCTCCCGAGAAGAAGGTCACACTGAATGGCATCTACCAGTTTATTATGGAGCGTTTTCCCTTTTACCGGGACAACAAGCAGGGCTGGCAGAACTCCATTCGCCACAACCTCAGCCTTAACGAGTGCTTCGTTAAAGTGCCACGTGATGATAAGAAGCCAGGCAAAGGCAGCTACTGGACCCTGGACCCGGACTCGTACAACATGTTTGAGAACGGGAGCTTTCTACGACGCAGAAGGAGATTCAAAAAGAAGGACGTGCTGCGCGAGAAGGAAGAGCGAGATTCACGGCAGAAGGAGCCCCGGGCGCAGAGTCGGGACCAAGATGTTCCGGGCTCACAGCCTGTTCGGATCCAGGACATTAAGACTGAGAACGGGAGCTGTACGCCGCCGCAGGCCACGTCCCCTGCTTTACACGCGGTGCCAAAGATAGAGAGCCCAGACAGCTCCAGCTCCAGCGGTGCTTCAACAGGCAGCCCGTCCGCGCGCTCATTGAGTATGGACGAGCAGCAGCACGCGCATAACCAGGCCACGGTACAGGGGTTTTCTGTGGACAACATCATGACCTCACTGCGAGGTTCCCCTCATGCTGACATGTCACCGCCACTCGTGGCATCATCGCGCACAGGTATGTCTCTGTCCCTGAGCTACTCACCCGTACAGACATACAGCAGTCCCACGCCATGTGCGCAGAATGTAATCACAAACTCTAGTAGCGGCACATATCACTGCAACATGCAGGCCATGAGCCTTTACGCAGGCGTGGAACGAGCGGCCAGCATCCCCCCGACCACCGCGGCTCTGGATGAGGCCTTACCCGAGTACTGTGTGACCACCACGGCCAACAGCAGCCCCAGCAGCCTGAGCCAAGAACACCTCCCACACCACGCGCACCAAGGTCGGATCACGTCCTGGTACGGAGACCTGGGCCACCTGAGCTACCCAACCTCACAGCAGCAGAACTTCCACGCGATGAACGGGAGTAACAGCTGCCAAATGGGCTTTCCGGGACCCGGACAGTCTCTGTACCGTGCGCCAGGGGCCTTCGTCTATGACTGCAGCAAGTTCTGACATACGCGCATGTAATGCTTGCGCACCCGCTCTGTATTTTTACTGTTTATGGACAAGAGTTTTGAATACAAGACGTGTTTCACCTAGGACACGTAAGTCTCTCTGCTTTATTCCAAACAGTTACAGACTGTAAATTAATCTTAATAGTAATTTATTTTAAATGGAAGGGAGTGGTCAGAGACTCGGAGGACCAAATACTTTATAATGTCTCTGCAGTCACACTATGAACTAAGTGCCTATTGTTGTATAGAAATAGACGGACTGTGTAGCTCAGTATTTTATTCACTCTGTTCATGTTCAAAAGGCATTACATTATGTTTCTTAATAAAGCGCCTCTATTTGAGATAAATTGGAGTGATGATTATTAGACATAAGCAACGCTCTCATGAATATTTCAACGACTTGGCAGCAAATGGTGGAGATATGGAAGCTTCATTTGTAGAACTTAAGTAAAGCAAACATATATGTATATGAGTTGGCTCAAATGAGGACTAGTCTGCTAAAGTCTTTTACCAACTGCAGAAAATGTTTTTTCTTTTGTTTTATTTTTGCAGTATTGTTTTAGACTATCGTCTTGCCACAAAACACAGATGACTGTCTCAGTGCTGCTCATGAAAATATTTTATACACACAAGAGATCGTAGGAAGTATAAATACAAAGAATTATAACATAATATTTTATCAAATAAAGGTATTTCAAAATACTTTCTGAAAGTCCTCATCGCGCCCAAGTAGAGCGGTGTGGAAAAATACAAATTTTTCTCCAGGCGCATTCAGAGATAAACTTGGACTGATTTTATTCCGAGGAATACAGGTTTGATTTTAGCATGCGCCCTGCTTGTTTATTGTGTTCACGTGGGGTGCAGGCAGTAAACAAACCCACGTGCTTGAAGGAGGCCTCTTCTACAAACAGGCCACTCTCCTTTGTTCGTGAGCTTGAGTGACACTGGGCACAGTGACACTGTATGACAAGCAAACTGGATATCACCTTTTTACGCACACACAGTTAAACGTCAGAATGACGTTCTACTCCTGTTACGTGCACTTCCAGTAGAATCTGTGGGGGAATCAGGCTTCTGTTTGCGTGTCCAGTTTATTTGCGCTCTCAGGGGATTTAATATTGTCACAGTCAACTGTTTGCTTTTCCAGATATATCTTTTTTTATTCTGAAACCAGATTATAGCAGTATATATCCCACTATTTTTTTACTAACAAAACATCCAATTTGATATTGAAAAATAAAAATAGCACAGAGGATTGGTTAGAATTTCACTGCAAATTAATTGACAATATAAAGACAATTGTATTCATGTTATCTAATACATTGTACTACATATTCTTAGACATTTAATAATAATAATAATAATAATAATAATAATAATAATAATAGGTTAAAAGTAAATTCTTTACGCACGTACGCATACGCGTAATTACATCTTAAATTGACAGACGTTTGTTTTGTGTCAGTATGCTCATATCAAGATGAGTGACAGGACTTTTCTTCCCTTGGGCAGTCCACATATGCTATATACTGTCACTTTTTTTTTTTTTTTTTTTTTTAAACAAAGGCCTTATTATGATTCATGGCCCAATAAGGTATGCGGGAGACGCGAAGGAAAATCATGACAGGACAGTACAAGATAGCGCGAGGGTATCCAGGTCAACAGAAAATGTCAACACTATAACTGAAGGAATACGAAGTGAGAAACGGCACTAGAACTCATCACATTATGATACGGTCTTATCTTTGTAGTTTTACGACTCGAGATGGATCGTATGAGGTTTATAAAGTTGTTGACTCGAAATAAAAGGCCCCAGGAGGAAAACAGGTCCGTCAGTCTGGAAAAAAAAACTCGGATTAAACGCGTATGCGTAATGCTGTTGTTGCTGTTCTGGTCCCAGGTGTGTATGTCTTTGTGCAGCTCGAGTAAAGAAGAGGCAAGGCCCCTTTATCCTCCAAGTACAAAACAGCAGCGCGAAGGAAACGCAGAAAAAAAAAAGGACAAATCGTTTTTATTATTTAAGATCAGAAAATGTTCGTTAAACTTAAACTCTATCCACAATTTTGCACATTAAGAAATTTAAATGAAAGAAATATCGTAATTGAATAAAAAAAAAAAAAGAGTAGAGTAATTGTAGTCGTTATCTGACTTAATTGGACTACTGAGGCAACAAAAAGTGAAACATAAAGTAGAGATTTTTGTCTTTACACAGGCCTATTTGGGGATCATTTTGGGCGCAGAAGCGCAACTTAACACCCGACGCTTCCCTGCGTAATTACAGAACTCCACATAAAACAGAGGAGTCTGTTTATGCGCGGAAAAATATTCTGAGAAGTTTGGACCAAAAGCTGTTTTTATACAAGTTTTGTGAGATTCTTATTAGAATCAACCCCTTTATAGTTTGAATATGTTTGAATAAGTTAACAAATTCAAAATGTTCTGGATATTTTGTGGGTGAAAAAGAAATTAAATTTTAAAAATGAAAAGGAAAAAGGAACCACAGCTGCTTCCTAAATTTCACTTCACCCTGACAATAAATGGTTTTGGCTTAATTTAACAGAATAAAGATAAATGAAATATACAATCTCCAATAACCTAAAAGTATCTGTTTTAGAATATTTTATGGTACCAGTAATGCCTTAATAAAATAGTGAAAGAAAGCATTAATAAAAGCACTGACTGGCCTTTTGTAATGTACATCTTTAAGAGGGAACCAATTGTTTCAACTCTGTGCTTGCAAAATACATAATTATATTAATCTACAATAATAATGTTTTCTTTTAAAAAGCCATTTCCAGAGCAATTCTAACCCCCCTGTGACTCTAGTCCAGACTGTGGTCATCTCATGAGCTCAAATGGACTGTAAAAGCTGCTAATCCTCTGTAGATGTTTGTAGAACCGTCTAAAAGGCCCTGCACTTGTGTAACATCTCCATCCAGATCTTGATGCGTTTGACTTTATTTTCTTGCCAACATTAAAGCTGCAGAGAGCCGTGTGATGGCTGCTGTGGTCTGCACCTGTGAGCGGCTCTGAGGCAGTCTGACCGAGCGCCGCGTGTGTTTATGAAGGCCACATCTGCTTCTCATCGGAGCTCGGACCCCAAAGCAGCACTACAGCTTCAGGCTCTTACGTCCTGGAGGTGCTGTCCTCAAAACACAGAGTCCCACCTTTCTCTCTCTCTCTCTCTCTACAGGGCACACACACACATGCAGGGAGCTGTAACTATGTCCAAAGGCTTTCAAAGGATCATGGGAAAATACAGTTAATACCCTATAAATGCATCTGCTGTTTTAAAATACTTAAGTGTCACTGGGATTACCTAGTATTATGTGTAACTTTGTGTGATATGAGCAGGGGTCAAAAATTATTTGTAACAGCACAGTGTGTGTGTGTGTGTGTGTGAATGCCACAGAATCAAAGATAGTTTCAAATTAAAAGGCATTTGATTCTCATCACAACAAATCCTATTGTAACAAGCAGATTTTATAGTTTGCTTTATGCCATATCCCTTTAGCAAAATCTTAACAGTGTTGACAGTGTGAGATAAATGCACAATTACAAAGATAAATAAAACAAATATTATTTTACAAGCATGTGGGCATACCTTTCTAAGAGGCTGTATTTAAAAGTTTGTCTTTCTCGCTGTTTTTTCCTATGCTTTGATTATTAGTAAACTGTACATTATTAAATATACATTATATTATATAGATTTATACATATTTAAAAGAAAGTCAGATTATTTTTTTCTTAAAGTGAACTTTTAGGCAGGTAGTGGCTCACTGTGTTGGTGCCAATGTCAACACACAGAACTGGAGTCGAGTCTTTGGAGTTTAGGATCCGGTAAAAAGCTTTACCTGTCAAACACTGAAACCTGCACAGAAAGAACAGCTGGAAAGGAAAATGTGCACATTAAAGAAATCATTTAGATAAAAAAAGGCATTTTATTGTATCAAATTTTCTCATTTGCAAAACCTTCATTTAATTTACAGTAGCATGATTACACTACATATTTTCTCTCTTGATGAAATGCACAAAGGCTATAAAAAGTACCCACAACAACAATAAACAAAACATAAATAGTCATTCAATCAATTCTATCGATAAAACATGCTCTGTGGAAAATCAGTTTGACACGAAAAATTAGGAGATGGCACAAAGGTAACAAACAATTGCATTGAGTTATAAGGAAAAAAAAGACACGTACGATTTACTTCATTTGGAAAAGGAAAATGTTCTTGCCCCTGTCCTGGGGGTGAAAGGTCACCTGTGGAGTGTCACATGGTACAGTTGTGCCGATGGCGCTCAGGCGTTGGGGTTGTTCCTCATGAGCTCGATGTCTGCTTCCACCATCTCCTTCACCAGAGCCTGTTACAACAACATGGGTGGAAGTACTGCGATTTAAAACACATTAAAACTTGTCTGAGAAATTTTCACACTGAACTGAAAGTATAACAAAGGTGCAATATGTTATTATTATAACTAAAATAATTATTATAAATTGTTAGTCAAATGTAAATATACTTTGTCATATAGATTCGATATTCTAACTATTCTACTGTATTTTGATTAAGATTTCTAATATAGAATTTAGACTGAATAAGAAATGAAACCTTTGATGAAAATGTCTAAGTTATAAGTTATAATAATGCTCATTTAAAATAACTTATGCACAGTACGTGAGTTAAAAGTGAGCATATTTCTCTTCAAAAATGTGTTTTGTTTATTTTGAGAAGTTAGAAAATTTCCATCATGGCATTGTTATTATGCAAAAAGGGCTAGCATTGCGTTGAAATAAATTTAACTGCCAGCAATCATATCCGAGTCAGATTGTATCTATTCCAAGGTAAAGAAATTGGGAACTACTGCCTCCTTTACTACTACAACAAGGATGGCTGTTTTGCATTGTGAAAACAGAAAAGTAAAAAAAAAAAAGAAATAAAACACCACAGCTATTTTTGTTATTTCTGCTATCTTGTACCTTCGGAGTTAATATGCTGAACATTTTTTTCAGTACACACAACATGAAGCTTACACAAGGAATGTCCAAACAAATACATACCTCAAAAGTCACCCGTGGCTTCCAACCGAACTTCTGATACGCTTTGGAGCTGTCCCCTTGAAGAAAGTCCTGCAAAGATGAAACAAATTATGAAAATATGTTCTAGAGAATTAAGATCTGGCAGTCCTGAAGTGTAAAGAAAGACACAATTTTAAAACATCTCTTGGGAATGAGAGAGTTTGGGAGGTCATAGAGTCTCCCTGGCCATCAATCCGCGGAGCCAGCCCCCAGCGCAGATACAGGCCCTCCACCCCCTCTCACCCCCACCTACCCCACCCCGCCCGGTCGCTGCCAGATCTTGATGAATTGTGGGACTCTGGTGGTGCGACCCCTCCTCCTCAGCCCCTCACTCATTTCGCCTCCTGTTGAGTTTTACTTCGAGTTCACGATCCAGAGAGACCAGCTGAGGACCACCAAAGAACCAGAAAAGCAGTACCTCGCAAAAATTTGAGGCTACATGTCGTTTGTATATATATTTGGAGATTTTCTTTAAAGGCGCTGTACCTGATTTTTGATGTCTTAAAAATGTGAAAAAGAAAAAGGAAGGAGTTCATTTTAAACAGTTTGCAGTGGTCCAAAGTTATTCCTTGCTTATCTAATGTAGTCTGAGCATCCTAATTATTCACCACGATGAGTTTAGAAGCGCTTTTCATGTCTTTCAGGGGCCATCACGTAGGCCTGTCATGATAATTACTTTATTGAAGTTATTGTTCAAGATATGAAAGCTGAAACAATATTTTTGGGGTCCATACTTATTGTTTGTACAGTTTCTTTGCACTAGTGAGAAATTTGGGGTAAATTTTTAGTTTTATGATAAGATTAATAAGATAAATTCTATGACTCATTGTACTAAGTACTACTTTTTTTTTTTTTTAAACAATATTGTCAATTTAGTATAGTTTTGTGGTTTAAATCTACTCTATAATGTTGTTGACATTAATTAATTTCAATATTATTGTTGATATTTACAGCAATATATCAAAGTTCAATATTTGTTATCATGACAGGACTACCATCACATTAATGCTAACACCAGCTCCCAAACAGTACTTCCTCAGTTAATAACAGCTTTATATTTTAATGCAAACAGCATGCAGTAATCTCATTTTGTCCATTTTATAGTACATATAGTACTGGGGCAAGACAAAGTTTGCTCAAAAACATGGGGGAAAAAAATCAGGTACAGCAACTTTGTACCTGAAGTGGAATGGTCATGTTTTATCATATCTTATTTTCCTTTCACTTTCAAAGCTGACAGAAAAAAGAACGTTAATCAAAACTTAAAAGTGAATTTGATAAAAATCTTGGTTCATGGTTCACGCTGCCATGCAAGACAAACTGGCTTGACTTGAAATCCCCCTTGAAGTGTGATATATGACTATTGTAAGATATTCCATGATTTAGGCCTTTACACTGCAAAAAGGAATACATAGGTACAGTAAAATGACTCAAATAAAGAACATTTACCTGATTTGAGCAGATTTGAAGTGAAGTGGAGTAAGTATTTACTTCTTGATTCAAACAGCTGAAGATTTAGTTTCTTATTTTAAGTGCAAGAGTTGTTATTTTTCTTATCGTTAGTGTAACAAGATGCAGTTTTGTAATTTAAGTACAAAAAGGCTTGTTCCTTTGGTAGATCATTTTATTTATCATGTGAAATTTACTCATATCAAATTAACATTTTCTTAATTCAAGTCATTTTAACCTGGAAAGATTTTACATCCAGAGGCTTCTTGTCTCGTTTGTAAAAAGTTAAAAAGCATAAACTCTATTTGCAAATGTTTTAAATTTGGTCAATACACTGGCAATACATGATTATTAAATTTTTTTTTATTAACCTTTTAATTTTTTAAAATAATATATAACAGCAATCAAGATCTCCCTATCTTGATTTGGACTCAAATTGCAAAATGTAATACAATGTTTTATGGCTTAAATTCTTTTTTCACATGAACCTATCAACCTATCAACATATCAATATATGCACTATATTATTGCACAACGTTAATACCTTCTTGAAATAAAATGAAAATATCAAAGAGGGATGGAATAATATTTTCATTGCAGTAAAATATATTTGGTATTTAAAAACATGGTGACACTTTAGTTTAGGGATCACATATACAAATATATATACTACACACCAGAAGATGAGGTTTTCATATTTTTTAAGTACAATTCCATCCCATATTATCAATAGAAGAGATGCATTAGTATCTGACACCACTCCTCTTGAAAATGTCTCTTCTTTGTAATCTTATGACAGAGGAACGCTCGGAGGCAGCCGTGGCATAACAGGGGCTTTTGGAGCACAGAGACCCAGAGGTTAGCCTCAATAGATTCCACATAACACATACACTGAACACACACATACAGACAAGTATAGGCCCGACTTCACAGCTTGTATCATAGGACTACTGCTAAAACTTGGTTCAGAAAGAGGTGAGGAGGCGTTTTTAACCAAAGCATGAAAGCAGAATAAACAGCTCTTTTGCATGTGAGAAGCATTGTATTACCTCAATCCATTTTTGGCTCCCCATAGCCTATAACTGGAAACATTTGCAGACTAATTATCCAAAGAAATTAGACATAATTTATCATGGGGCTGAATGCAATTATTATAGGTTGACTTACTCCACAATTACATTAAATAATCCACTTTTGTCATAATTATATTGATTAGAGCTGGTAATGGAGGATGTTCATTTTCAAGCGGGTTGAAAAGGAAACTGCAGAAAACCTTGTCACGAAACGCCTTTCACTACAAGTGTTCATATTTGGGGAGATGTAATGAAGGGGGACTCACGTGGTCCTAACGAAGCTTCGTGATTGGCTGTTTCATACCAAAGATTCGGGTGTGATGAATTGTCGATCTTTTGCTATCTGACTGTAGGAATCTGAAAAATAAATGGGCTGTAAAAATTGGACGAAAGCCTATGTTAGATAAGGCGTTTTCAAAGGTAACATATGTATGAATACATGCATGTATTTAGTGTTTAGTTCACAGTACATGCAGGACAACAAGAGAGTCCACAGACTCACTTAATGTTGATCTATAAATAGCTTACGAGTAAACTGTGAATTTTAATGGGGTATTTTTAAAACTAAAAACATCTGGTAAACTGGGTTATTGCATGTGCAAATAAATATTAAAGATGCAGTTCTAGACTTCATTCAAATTAAATTTGTTCCCCCTATAAAATAATTGTATTTGTTTTGTAATTGCAATCACATGTTACAGTTTAAATGCACTTACACTGAAATGCATGTATAATTATTATTATTTTGTTATATGCTAAATACTTTTTGGCACACGAGAGAATAAGAATGAAGCGTAGTTTTACACATTAAATACTACTACAAGTATAAGAAGTAGTGTTGCCATATAGTGTGTGAATGTAATGGTCATATTGCCTTGTATCCACATTAAATCGTCTATCATCAGTGGTGCGCTGTAAAAGATTCCACTCAGACTGGAAGCCCAACATCTGCTGAAACCTGACTCTGCTCTGCCAAGTCTACGCCTCAGCACACCAGCGCACACTTCATAATCCAGGAAGTTAATCCCAGAGCCTGGCTTCTCTCACCCAGGCTTTGTGCAGGTGACAGACTATCTCACCCTCCCAAATCCCTTTGTAAACCGCCAATGCTCACTGGATACAGGCTGCTAACAAGAGCGCCGTGCGGACAAGTCAAGTCACCCCAAACTGAGCATGTAGCCAATAATTCAACATGAACTGTTAACAGATGGGGGAACAATATAATCTTCATGTGGATCCGATTTGGAACTCGAGCCAGCTTTTTGGCACATCCTGTTTTATGCCGGGCTGTTTAATGCAGTGAGGATGCAAACAAGTTCACCAATGTCAACAGTGGGTAAGGTTAATTTGTTAATGCTTGAATAATGCATGTCATGTGTGAGGATAACAATCTTTTATGTGTCACTTTGAATGACTGATGAATTTCAAATGCAAACAAAAAGTTAAAGGTCCCAGGAAATTATTTGAATACTCAAATGGGATCTAAACGGTCAAGATGAGCTATTCTAGCTTAATTAAAGCTGGGATGTCATTTATAGATGCACAGATATAAGTGTTTGTAGTATAAAACAGTAAATAACATTCAAATTAAAGGTGTGCTATGCATTTTTACAGTGAGGAGGGTGACGTCTCCACAGATGTGACACGCATTTCAGCCTGATGGTGTCACTTGCTTGTCTTCAAGGTAAAGTGGGTAGAGTAGACAAAAATATACTCAAGTAAGTTGCTCAAGCAGAAGTACAAAGTAGCAGTCCAGTGGTACAAAGGTAAGTAAAATGCCGAATTATGGAAAATTTTAAACAAAGCAATAACAACAAGCACATGGCATACCCTGTCCCACAAACATTGCATTTTTACATTTTTACTTGATTCAAAATAATACTCAAGTACAATGTGTTGGTCCAGTGGTACCAAGGTAAGTAAAATGCCATACTGTGGAAATTTCTAAACCCAGCAATAACAATAAGCAGATGGTATACCCTCTCCCAGAAATACTACATTTTTATTTGATTCATTTCAAGCTTCTTTTGCTCTTTACCACTCAGGACATGAAATTACAAACCAAGCTTTGTCTGTTCGGAATGTGGATTATTTTTATTGAGAACTGGTCCAAATCTCCCAAACACAAAGATCGCTAATATTACTCCCTTCATCATAAAGCTGGCAAACTCCACAGCCTTTCGCACTCCCCCTGTCAGCCTTTTCGCTCCAGACACCCGCACCCTAATAAAAACGAGAAACCATAAAAGTAATCCTTGCAAATGTACAAGCCAGCGGGACAAATAGAGTGTGATCATGCTCCATAAAGCACACAGGCAGTAAAAGGCACTCTATGCAAGCATTTGACGCAAAGGAATTCTGCTATCACTGCAAGACCTATCAATAAATCAGACCGCAAACTGGAATTGAACCCCCAACCCCAAACTCAGGTATCCAAAGCACCTCAGTTTAAACACTGAAAAACTGTCCCTAAAAATAATTTATTTTTCCACCCCTCTCCAAACTCAAATGTTCCCAAGAAAGCAGCGT